GGTCTGTGAATGGCCGTCAGATTTGTGGCCGGATGGTGTATGAGTCTGCCGAATCTTTAACACTTATCACACTTTTTCACCATTTCCATGGCGTCTGCCTCATGAGTGGGCCAAAAGTAGCCTTGCTGCCTAGCCTTAGCCGCTAGTGCCCTACCGCCTATGTGAAAGGCGCAATAGCCCGAATGCAATTCCTCCAGAATTTCTTTCCCCTTTTTAGGGGTGATGCATTTCAAAAGAGGTTGCAAAAAACCCTTCTTGAAAAGCTCTCGATTATCTTAAAGTTGGCCGCACATTTTTTCATTGCAGCCATTTCTGGATACGTATCCGGCAAAGTGTCGTTTAGCAGATAGGGCCGGATGCTGTCCATCTAGGTTGAGCTTCGGTCCAATATTCCAATGGGATCTTCCTCAATACTTTGTTTTTCCATTACTTCCCAGAAGACTGACCGAGGCGTATCACATGAGGCGGATGAAGCCAATTTGAACAGACCATCCGCCTGATTGTTTTCCGATTTAGGCACCTGACTTAAGTGAAATTCATCAAGTGTCCTAGGTTCAGCTTTGTCCGCCTGCAAATATTTGATCATGGTCGGATGGGTGGCCTCATAGTCACCATGGTACTTGCTAACGACCAATTGTGAATCAGAGCAGGTGTCAATTTTTCTTGCCCCCGCCGCCTTGCACATGCGGATACCGACTAGCAGGGCTTCATATTCCGCCTCGTTATTTAAGGCTTGAAACTTAAACCGTAGTGCATATTCATACTTGTATCCTTCAGGGGATTAACATATAACCCCTGCACCACAGCCGTTCATAGTAGAGCTCCCGTCTACATACACTTTTCAAACCTGGTCAAGATTCTCCGGCTCAGCCGGCCTTGTCATTTGGATAATGAAGTCTATGAGAGAGGCGCATCTCAATAGCCCATTTGAGCATCCTACCGGATGACTCCAAGGTTGTCATTGGCTTCTTAAGGGTTTCGTCTGTGTAGACCACAACCGGATGTGCCAAGAAGTAAGGTTTCAACTTCTTGACTGCCATGAAAAGAGCCAAGCTAAAATTTTCAACCATTGGGTACCGTAGTTCAGCGTTTTGAAGAACATGGATGATGAAATAGACCAGAGCTAGATACCGTCTCTCTCAGCAAGGAGAACAACACTGAGAGCATGGTCTAAGACGGCTAAGTACATGTAAAGGGCCTCCTTTGGCAGAGGGCTAACAAGCCTCGGCAAAGAGTGCAAGTGTTCTTTCAATTTCCAAAAGGCCACCTCAACATCATCCCCCCATTCAAACCTAGTCTTCTTTTTGATAGCTTGGAAAAAATAGAGGCACTTGTCACCTGACCGGCTGAGGAATCTCCCCTATGCCGCCAGACAACCTGTTAGCTTCTGAACTTCTTTGACAGTGCGGGGTGACTTCATGTCAATGACCGCCTGTATCTTATCTGGATTGGCCTCTATCCCCCTTTGATCAATTAAAAATCTGAGAAACTTCCCAGAATCAACACCAAAGACACACTTCTTGGGATTGAGCATGACCTTATGCCGCCTGAGTGTGGTGAATGTTTCTCGGAGATAAGCAAGGTCATCCGCCTGTAGCTTGGATTTGACTATCATGTCATCAATGTACGCCTCTACATTCCTCCCAATTTGATTAATGAAGACTGTATTAATCATTCGTTAAAAAGTAGCAGACGCATTTTTCAAGCCAAACGACATCACAGTATAGCAGGATAACCCCTGATTAGTGACAAATGTCGTCTTCCCTTGATCTTTTTTCCACAAGGTATCTGGTGAAAGCCTGAATAGGCGTCCATAAAGCTCATCAAAGCATGTCCGGCCGTAGAGTCGACCAGACTGTCGATCTTTGGAAGTCGATAACTATCCTTTGGACATGCCTTGTTCAAGTAAGTGTAATCAACACACATGCGCCAGGTATCATTCGACTTCTTTACAAGCACAACGTTAGCAACCCAGTTTGGGAAGTGACATTGCCGAACGAACCCGGCGTCTAACACCTTTTTCATTTCGGCGGCTGGCACCTAACTTCTCTCCTTTCCGTGGTTTCTTTTCTTTTGCCTAACCGGCTTCTTTTTGGGATCCACGGCAAGCTTGTGGGCAGCTAGATCCGGGCTGATGCCTAGCATCTCTTCCAGTTCAAAGGCAAAGATGTCTTTGAATTTCTTCAACAGATTGTGCAAGTGTGCACCCAATTTTGCAAAAGCAACCGGCCCCACCTTAATAGTAGCTCCGGACGTGTGTTGTCCAGAGCAATATCAATGTGTTCACCAGTCGACTGGGGACGGAGTTCATCCGACGGTTCCCGGTCAGTGATTGCTATTGCTTTTCCGTCTTCAAGGCCTTCAGCTAGTCGGCCTTTCTCTTCTTGCCGGCTGCTATTGGAGCAGGCTCGGCTTCCTTGACATCGTCAAGGTCTATTGGCTCCTCACTCTGGCCGGCTGCGACCACTATGGGCTTGACGTCTGAGAGGTAGCACTCTCTAGCCGTCTTCTAATCCCCGTTTACGGAGCCAACGGACCCATCATCCTTCTCAAATTTCAACAGCATGAGGGATGGAATAATGACGGCCTTGGATTCGTTTAGAGTCGGACGGCCCAATATCAGATTTTAGGCAGTCAGCTCTTCTACGACCACGGACAACCATGTGGCGTCCCGCTCTTTTCTCCCCCAGCCAGATGGGTAGGTCAATCCGTCCGACTAGGTGTACAACCCCAACCCCAAAGCCAACCAAGGGGTGAGACACCTTGTGCATGTTGTCGAGCTTGTACTTCATCTTTGACAAGCACTTGTAGCTGATGATGTCTGACGACCTTCCGGTGTCAATGAGGATACGGCCGACCTTCTGGTCGACCACTTTGCACTCAATGACGATGGGGTCATCATGCGGTCGACGGACCTTTCCCCTGTCCTTTTCAGTGATGATGACCTTAGGGAAGGTGTCAGTAGACGTCTGGCCCTCATCAATTGAACTGACATCCAACCGTCTGACATGGTCCTTAGTGCCCCTAATGGTTGGGCCCCCTCCAACAAAAGTCGCCTGCTATTGTTTAGACCGGCTCTTTGTCAGTGTCCAAACTGCTAGCAGGTTGGGCATCCCTTTTGGACGACTGCCCGGGGTTTGTCCTCAGGGTCACCTTAGTCTTCAGGATGTAAGACTTTAACACCCCCTTATCAGCCAGACGGTCCAACAGCCGCTTGAGACTATAGCAGTCGTTGATGTCGTGGCCAATATCCTCATGTGAATGGCAGTACTTGTTTTTGTTCCGATTTTTGGCAGAAACTTTCATAGCAGCCGGCTTCTCTATGGTTACCCGGTCCTTTATCTCCATGAGTATGGAGTAGTAGTGTTTGTTAAACTCGTACTTTGGGACGTACGGTTTAAAGTTTTTCTTTTTCTTCTGGGACGGCTGATAAGAGTCGTCAACTGCCCAAATCTCTTTTCTCTTCTTACTCTCTTCAGCTTTCTTAGCCGGCTGAGCTTGCTGACTCTCTTTTTTGTCAGAATTCTTGGAGTCCGACTGCTTGCTGATGGAGCAGAGCTCGGTCGCCTGTATATAGGCTTCTGCCTCCATCAGCACTTCCTGGAAGGTGGCAACCCTCTTTCTGACGAGGTCAAACTTAAAAGTCGACCCATCCTTCAGACCCTTGAAGAAGTCTGTATAAGCCACATCGTTAGACAACCCTTGAATCTGGATTCTCACCAAATTGAACCGCCTGGCGTATGACCGCAGCCCTTCTCTATCCCCTTGATGCACTACACCCAAGTCAAGACTTGTTTTCTTAGCATGGATATTCATAGAGAAGTTTGAAGAAAACAAGAAAGGAAGCGTCTTGAAGCTGTTGATGCAGTCGGTTGGCAAATTGTCAAACCATTGTTGGGCAATGCCCTTCAATGTAGCCGGGAAGCATCGGCATCAGGTGGCGTCATTCAACCCCAACAAGTACATGAGGTTGGTGTAAGCCATGAGGTGGTCTTCTTGGTGGTACCATCATAAATACCCACCATGACATTCTTAACCTTGGCCAGCTGTGCCGCCTCAGTTATTTCCCTAGAGAACGCAGAAGGTTGTTCCCCAAGTTTTAGCAGACGGAGCTGCCAGCCCAAAGGTTGGACGTTTTGTGCCGCCTGACCCCCAAAGAGGGCCGGTTGCTTGTAAGGTTTTCCATACGACATGTATGACTGCTGAGGCACATACGGGACCGAATGGATCATCAGAGGGCCAGTGTGGACGGACGAGCCGCCTGACTGACTCTCTCGTAAATATTGAAAATATCTCATTGAGGTATTCTAGAAGCTGTCTGGGTAGGTCGACGTTAAAGTAAACTCAGACAGTTGCTGGTTTCTCTTCTGCTCGATTAGGAACCGGGCATCAGAGTATGTCTTCTTTAAGGCATCCGGCTGGACATGCTGGATGGCCTCTTCCTCTTTCCTATCTCAGGGAATCGGATCTTGATAAGATCGATCAAGGGCCGCTTCCCCTCCTTTGATTTAGGATGCGGAGTGGGCTCTCGGTCCCTGCTCGGTTTGTTCTTCTCAGAGGGAGAAGGTTTCTTAACCGACTGACCCCTGTTGGAGCAAGTCGTCCTCTTGTTGATCAGGTCCTTTATCTCCCCCTTGAAACTTGTCATGAATTTCATGAGCTTGTCTCGAGTGACTGGGACTGTGCCTTCCGCCGCCTGGTGTTGTCCAGACGGCTGTCCGGATGACTTACTTGGACCAGCTTGATCATCGCCCCGTTCTCTTCTTTCCTTGGGACGAGTACGTCTGATTCTGAGTGACCCATCAGCGGCCACATACGTTTCGACTTCAAAGTCGTCATCACTAACATGGTCCGAATAGACCTCAACTTCAGCCGTAGGCCATTTCTCATTAGGAGGCGGTACAGACTGTTGTGAAGCCATCTTAGAGGTACTTTCCCCACAGACGGCGCCAAATGTTTCGGGGTTTTCTGTGTCCCTTGGGAGAGTTACGTCACTAAGTCTAGACTCTTTGCGCCTGTACCTGCAAAACAACGGAGACTCCGATTGGGTGGAGTTCCGCCTCCGGCGATCAAGTTAGAAGGTGTACTGAGAATGTAAAAAAGTGCGGAAAGTAAAGTGGGATCTTCTCGGATTCTAAGATCAGGTGTTTTTCTCTATTTTCGAGAGAATTAAGTGTTTTCAACTATTGAATGTTTCAAAGTGGAGTAAATCTCCCTATTTATAGGGTCATTGGGATTTTTGCCCCCGTCCTAGGTTACGGAAACCTATAACTAATGGGCTGCGCCGTTTTAAGGTTTTCCTCGAGAATGGGGCCCTGAAGGCCGTCTTTTTCCTCATCGATTGGGAGTGCCACGTGTCAGCTAAGGGTTGGTTCATGTTGAACCTTTCCTAGGGTGACACATGTCATCTTATGATTGGACCACGTGTCCTGGGTATTTTTTACCCAAAACAATACCTAATCTACAACCAGATAATTTACAAAAACCCTATGTTCAACTATTACAATCAATAATAATCGAGAATTTTAGGGTTTACATCAAATTTCTCACAAAAACAACATGAAATTGCAGAAATGAAAGAAAAAATGATAGATCTAGAAAGAGAAAGCAAGAAATACATGGATACCGAGCTCCCAAGAAGCACTTCCAACTATGAGGTACCATGATCAACCTGTACCTTGTTGGCTTTGTGCACGAGCATTGATCGAACGTTGTACTTGCTTCAGAGGTTGCCGAAGAGTGGAGCACTCATAATCACACGGTGAACGCTCGACGGCGTGGTGAAGTGAGCCTTACGACATTTTCAACAAGAGCTGAACACTCTGGGGTTATGTTTCATTTTCTCTTTCTCCTTTACTCTCTGGGTTTTTCTAGGGTAAGGGTTTTCTGCAAGGGGGCAGAAAAGATGCAGTCATGTGTTCTAAAAATGAAATAAAGGAATGAATAAAAGTTTATATATTAATTTACTATTTTTGTAAAATATTATTTGCAGCAGCGCTCTATATGGGAAACATTGCAAATAAGTTTTTCGCAACGTTCAGAAGTAGGGAACGCTGCAATAATGTGCTTCACTTGGGAGAAGTGCAAATAATTCACTTAAAAAATTTCCCTATTTTTTACGCTGCTATTAATTCAGTAAAGGGTTGACCCACCTTGAATAACTACTAATTGCAACATTCTATACATAGGTTTTGCTGTAAATAGTGTGCTGCAAATGACGTTTTTTCCACTAGTGATGGTACTGAGACGGTCCTGCTCACTACAAGAAAACGCGATTTTAGTGACTGCCAAAAATTTCGTCTCTAAAATCAAGATTTAGTGATGGTTTATGAAAACTGTCACTATTTAGTGACGGTTTTTGAAATTCGTCACTATTTAGTGACAGATGAAGCAGTCACTAAATTTTCCCCAATTTAGTTCCCAAATAACACCAGGCAGTCACTCGAATTGCAAAAAAAAAGAAGAAAAAAAAAACAGAGAGACATTCCATCCCCTGCTTCTCCACCATGACTGAACGACTCCTGACCCAGCGACTCCACTGCATGCCACCGGAAAAGCCACGCCAAACGCCGTCAGATGGCCCATGCCAGACGCCTCCGACCCACCCTGCGCGCCAATAAGCAGCTTTCTTCAATTTTCGTTTCGTTTTTTTTTTTGTTTTTTTTGCAATTGTGATAAACTTATTAACTGAGTAATGTCTCCTCCAAACGACGAATTCCAACCGAAAGTTATACACATCGACCACCGGTATCGTACCTTCTGTCCCGCCAGTAATGTTCTCTTCCCTTTAATTATTTTTTTTAATTAGCCCTATTATTTAAACCCTAACCCTAAATTATTTAAATTGAATTGGGGAAAAATTATATGAAGTAATTTTCGTTCAATTATTTTTGTAGATTTAATTGAGGAATTTGCTAATTATTGAAGAGAATACTCCAATGTAATTAGTGGTAAGGAAAATTTTTCATTTGATTATACCCTTTATTAGTTTAATTGTATTAGCAAAGTGATTTTTTATACATGGTTTGCTTACAATAATGTGTAGTGTTGTAATTTTGGTCATTAATTTAAAACTAAGTTGTGTAGTGCCGTATGGTTTTCTATATGTGTTGTTTAATTTGAGTAATAATTTGTTGGTTTGTTTCGTTTACATTTATTGTTGAGTTATTTGATTGAAATAGATAGAAAGGTTAGATGACATTTTGGCAAAGTTTGTTCCTTCTTGGTTCAATATTTCCCAAATTGAAACATTCTTTGTTGTTTCTATTATTAGAAACTTAAAACTTAGTACATTTGTCGTTCTTTTGAGTATTAGTTGACTACTTTGATTAAATTATGAAAAATAAGAGTACTAGAAATTATTATGGACGTATTTAGTCCTTTTTGTTTTCTGATGCCCCAAATTGATTTTAACTTGACATTTTTATGTTGTTTTAGTCTCACAAACTTACAACTAATTACATTTGTCGTTTTTTGGGTATTATTTGATTACTTTGATTAAAAATATGGAAAGTAGGAACACTTTTAGTTAATATGGTCATATTTGGTTCTTTCTGGTTTTATATGTTGTTTAAATGATGTAAAATACATTTTTTGTATGTTGTTCCAAGTGTTACAAACTTATAATTACATTCATTTGTCGTGTGGCAATTATTAGTTGACTAATTTGTTTTGAAATATGGTAAATAGGAATGTTATAAACTAAACTATTATGACCATCTTTGGTTTTATATGCTTCCAAAATGATGGAACTTGTCATTTCCTTATAGTGTTTAGATATAGAATGTTGTAACTTAGTATATTTACCTTGTTTTCATTAATATGTTTGTGTGAGATGTTTAGAACTTGTTATAATGAAACAGAGGGAACGAAGTTGGATGTATGATATACTTGACAGGCGTAATTTAAAGCCGGGGTTATTAAACATAGTTGAAGATTTCATTGAATTTTGTAAACAAAATCCGGAGAATAAAAATCCTAGAGAAATTAGATTTCCTTGTCCTAAATGTAAGCACAAATGTCTCTTGGACGAGGATACAGTCAGAGTTCACTTGTACAAGAAGGGATTTGTTCCTAATTACTACTACTGGTTGTTTCGTGGCGAAAGAACACATGAGTCAACTTCATTTGAAGGAAATCCTTATCGAGAAATGGTGGTTGATGCACTTGAGAATAATAATAATAATAATAATAATAATAATAATAATAATAATAATAATAATAATAATAATATATTTTAATACGGCAGGATCCAAATATAATTTTGTTTAAGTTAAAGATTCACTCAGAACACAATCGAACCCTAATACTTTTACACCTTATTACCTCTGTAATCCCTTCCTCTCTCACATCTTTTTTTCATTCCATCACTTTGATTTGTTGTTGTCACATCTTCGCGCCCTACGGTTTGGTGTTGGTCGATTAATGTACTTTTGTGAATTATATATACCTTTTTTTTTTTTTTTTTTTTTTTTTTTTTTTTTTTTTTTTTTATCATGAATTATATATACTTCGTGCATGGTTGTTTATCAGTCCATAACTGAATTGGAACAAGAATTATTATTTTTCCACGGGTTGGATTTCGAATCTGAATTATTATCAGTCCATAGCTTCTAGTGTAACCGTTGGCTACAATAAACAGCCGATTATAATACAGTAAATGAGTTTAGACCTTTGATGTATTTATTTTCTTTAGTAGGGGGTAAAATTTTATTATCTATTATTTAATTTTTTTTGAAGCAATTTTATTATCTATTATAACACCCATTAAAACAAGTATCTTATATAAAATTATTAATCTAACTTGAAAATAGGTGAAACTGATTGTTTTGTTTACAAATGTTCTTACAGTATGAACAAACGATTGCACTTGAAGGTCATAATACTTCGGATTACCATTAGCAACACCCAAAAATACATCTTAAAGTAAAATTGAAAGCAAGGCAAGCTTTTCAAATACCTTAATCTGGCAGACATGATGTTACTAATGCTGCTAGGCTTCACAGTTTCTTTGAGTCCTTAGCGCCATATGAGCAAACAATTGCACTTGAAGGTCATGTTCCTGATACTATAATATATCAGAACATTGCACATTTAATTTATAAAATAAATGTTCCAGCAAAATAATAGTATTAATATTATTATCTCATCTGAAAAACATCTAAAAAGGTGAAGTGAGAATCAAGATAAATATATAGAAAAGATTGTATGACTACAATGTCCATTAGTTTCCACAATGACACAAAATTTAAATCCAGAAGTTAAATTGTAAATATGTTCAGCTAGATCAAGTTTTCTGTCCCACCACTATTATTTGACTAATTTAAGAAAAAAAAAACATTGTTATAATGTTCCTCCACTTTTCTACAACTCTATACTAATCGTCTGTATGAGAATACAAAATAAAAGAACGCAAAAAGGCAATACAATGAAAGTAGATTTATAAAGTTCTGGTCTTACAGATTTTTCATGCTCTTAGAATTCCTAAACAACATATATATTAACCAAGACATTGAAATTTTATGATCAGCCTAGTTTAAGTATCACGCCACTGCATGGAATATCTGAAAATAATAATCAGTCAAAGAAAACATCTGAAGTTAGGATTGTAAATATGTTCAGCTAGATCAATTTCTCTGTTCCACCACTATTATTTGACAAATTTAGGAAAAAAAAACATTGTTATAAAAGAACGCAAAAAGGCAATACCATTGATTGTTAGGATTGTTGTATCAACATGCTGTGAGATGTGAGATGTACTAAAATGTAAGTTGATGTAAAAATTGCAAAATTTATTAAACTTACTTGGATGGGCTGAGCTTGGTTGACTTTTAGACTAAGGTAGCGAGAATTTTCCATTCTCTGTTTCTATAATGCCATTGGGATCACTTCTCAACTTTTGTTCTATTATATTACACTGTTTGATAGAAATGACACAGAGGCGTGGAGGATAGCCATTGTCACCAAAGGATTCAAATTTAGGGCAATCTTCAATTGATAATTCTACAAGTGAGGTAAAATTGCTAAGGAAGAATATGGTTCTCAAGTTTTGGAGACCCTGGATATATAATTGAGACAAGGAAGAGGGAAGAGAAAGATATGGGCACGGTATACACTCTACTGAGTCTACAGAGTGAGGTGAAATTGCTAAGCAGTGTATTTTAGGGCATTCTTCAATATCTAATCGTTGGAGGGAGGTGAAATTGTACAATTGAGCCGGAAGCCTTTCCATATTCTTGCAATCAACAAAGCGAAGATATTTTAAAGCTGGGAGAAGCAGGCTTTGTTGTTCACAAGTAAAGACGATAGAGTCACATCCTTCAACATGGAGTTTTTCAAGACAAGTTGAGGAAGAACTCTTCAATTCCAAGTTTTGTAGTTGCCTGCATTCAATGATTTCCAATTCTCTAAGAGAAGGCAAATGAGGAGGTAGATTGCCTTGCAATGACGGACATTCATTAATATGAAGCTCTTCAAGGATGGGGAATGCCTTATTGTCAACTGGTGGGTGCACCCACTTCTCCCAGGATATCACACCATAAAAAGATAGTCTTCAAAGATGGAAAAGGATTTGAGCAATGCCCATAAAATTCAAGACCCACCTCCTTAATACCATCCATATCTTGAATCCAAAAACCCTTCAACGAGGGTAGCTGCCCCAGTGGAGGCAAGCATTCACATTTCTGACACTCCCACAACGTTATGTCCACCATGTTACTGAAAGAGGTATCTCCCAGCCAACTTGGTAATGTCGTGCCCATGTACCCCTCCAACTTACATTTTTTGATGGAAGTGTGAGGCTGCAACTTCTCAATCACATCTCTCTTAGTCATGTCACCAACCTCATCTACACAAGTTCCCCAGTTCATATACAACTCATCTAAACCCTCTTTTTTATGCAATTGGGCTTCCTCTGCATCTGCAACCTCTGTCACATTTTCTAGCCCAAGTAAGCATAAACTTCCACGGAGATGATTCAACATCCCCAACTCCCTTACCCTAGACCCACCTCCGGGTGCCAACACAAATTCACCCAAAGTTTGCAAGTTTGTTAATCTCCCAATTCCAAGCGGCATATCCTTAGTTGGACGTAGTGGAGAATATATGTGGCGAAGTTTCTCCAGCGATCCGATATATGGAACCTTCTCAAGGTTGAGACAGAAGTTCAAGCCCAGTGTTTGAAGATTCCAGAGATTGTTGATTGAATGTGGCAACACTTGTATGTTTCTGAAATTGAGAATAAGATAACACAAGTGTTTTAAATCACCAATATATTCTGGGACAACTTTAATTATATTTGAAGCTAGGTATAGAGCTCGTATGTAATGCATACTTTGGATGGTGTCCAAATTATCAACTCTCAAATAATTGTTGCGGCATAGAAATGATCGCAGCTGAGGAACTCTTTCAAGATCATCTCCCAATGTATGAACATGACGATTGACAAATAAATGGCGAACTCTTTCAAGATCATCTCTCTTGGAATCCATTATATAACAGACATCACCTGCAGCCAATTGAGCCACATCATGGATGAGGTCATGCATGATGAACGTATCGTCTTTAACTGAAGATGGGGGTTTTTCAAATAATGACCTTGATACAAGATCATTGAAGTACTTGTGGCCCATATCTTCCATTCTTTCATTTTGGGTTTCTGGTAGGAAGCCTTGAGCCATCCATAGTAAGACAAGTTCCGTCTCCTCGAACACGTAGTCTTTTGGAAATACTGAACAGTAAGCAAATACACGCTTCAAATGAGAAGGCATATGATGGTAACTTAGCCTTAGAACTGGTAAAACACTGCTCTTCTCAGCCCAAATATTGCTCTCTAGTATCTTTCGGCGTTGGCTCTTGTCTGGAATACTTTTAAGGAGACCTCCTAAAGCTTTAGCGGCCAAAGCCAATCCATTGATCTTTTCTACAATATTATCTCGCATCTCAGCAAGATCAGAATCTTCATTTGCATGCTGCTGAAATATAAGCCAACTGTCAACGTTTGACAACCTTTCTAACTTGATGATATCGCGTTGAGTTGGATTAGTAACCATCATCATTGCAATACTCTTAGTTCTGGTTGTCAGTATCACTCTGCTTCCTTTTGCACCGTGTCGGAAAGGTTCCTGCAGCTTGTCCCAATCACCATATTCCTCACTCCAGATATCATCAAGAACAATAAAGAATTTTTTGCCTTTTAGCACTTCCTGCAATTTCAATTGTGCCTGATCCAAGTTGCTACAGTTGAAATCATTGCTGCGGGTGGCCGAGTTAATTATATCTATTGTGACTCGTTTGACATCGAACACATCTGAGACGCACACCCATGCCTTGCTATCAAAATTAGACTTCTGCTGCTCACCATTGTGAGCATAGAGTTGCTCACCTCTGTATACATACATCTGTTCATCGTTGTATACATACTGAGCAAGGGTCGTCTTTCCAATGCCACCCGTTCCAACAATAGGAATCACAACATAACCTACAGCATTCTGATCATCTTTCAGTAGCATTGTAATTATCTCTTCTTTCATGTCATCCCTTCCAAAAACCTGGCCAACCAAAGAAGTGGATTCTCTCTGGCTTCGAAGAGTTTCTGTTTGGAGAGTCTGCTGCTGCATCATGTGTGCCGCAGTCAGACTCAAACTCTGTGTCTGGTCCTGAATATCTTGCAAGCGCTCTGTAATGTCATCAATCTTGTCTTGAATGCGTTGATCAACAGGTTTGAGAAAGGTGGAGAGACTATCTGCAGCTCTTGAACCACTTACACAAATGGTTTGCGCCTGATCAATGAATTCAATACAAGTGTTAGCATATCATATCATTATTTAAGTAAAGTACAGGTTTTGGGTTAGTTTTATCATGTCTAGTCCTACAGTTTAACTAGCTAGCATTATTATGGCAAAAACTAACAAAAATAGGAAGAAGTTAATTAGTACGGAGTTAATAGAAAGATGGGAGCACAAACCATTCTGTCTAGAATCCCAGCGTTTGAGTGATCAATTACTGCATAAGCTTCATCTTCTTCCGCCTTTTTCAACTGGTAACCTAAAGCTTCGGTGGCAAAATGATCCAAGAGATCCTCAATGTCGTAAGCTAAATCTTGGAGATCATTCAGCCACAACTTGACAGGTTTACTGTGAAACTGCTGCAACTCAGCATCATCCAAGAGAGCTTCCAACCTGGTAAATTGTATCTTCCATTTCTTTATTGTTTTCGGCAGATCAACTCCGCCAATCAACTTCAAGAACTGCCTCCCTCCACTTGACAGCATCTGCTCAAATAACACCTCCAGAAACGCTGAAAGAATTGTCTCGCCTACTGCCATCCTTGATCAGCTACTACTTGCAATTTTATTTTATTTTTTAAATTTATGATTTAGCAAAAACTAGTGATTGTGAATGAAAAGACTGGTTTATCTTAGTCTGGGGTTTTAACGATAACAAGTTTGGGAAAATGAATTATTGCAATCCATAACTTTCTTTCTTCTTTTTTTTTTTTTTTTTTTTGACAAAACACTCCATACTTTTCTTGAAAGGCCTTCTTTTTCAGTTTTTTTTTTTTACTGTTCAAACATTATTTTGTTTATTTATTTTACAAAGAAAATATCGTATAGTCGTATTCAAAGTTATGAAAATTAATCTAATTTATCTTTCAAAAAAAAAAAATTAATCTAATTTATCTGAAGAAATCTAAAAATATACTTGCATAATATACTAACAAAAGGGTAAATAAGTCTAATAAGTCTATGTTCTATTCATCTACCCTTTTTTCTCTCTTCTCTCTGTTCCCCCTCAAAAACCTAAAAAAACAACCCTAAATTTTTCAAGGGGCTACCACCAACCTTTTGGTTGATGGTAAGCCCCTAATTTTTAGTTTCACTAGTTTTATTTATGCTTACAATAATTAGTCTCTCTTTATTTGAGAGTTTTCTACCCGTATATCAGATTATTTCTACCTGTATATCACGTTAATTTCACTCTTTGTGAAATGATGTATCAAACAGCGGTGTGAAAGAGGGCATTTAGAAATGTCAAATCTTATTTACAACGATAGTAGTTTTGTCCAATTAGAATACATTTGATTCAATTTGTATTGTATTTGCTAGTTTTGATCTATATTGTTGATGTAATATGACTCTTCTACTAATGAATAATTCTTTTCAAAAAAAAAAAAAAAAAAAAAAAAGCAACAAAGGATTTACTCCATAATACTTCCTCCGTTTTTTAATAGTACTATTTTGGGTTGCGAATAAAGATTAAGAAAAAAAGTTAATAACAAATATAACCATGTGATTATTGATTACAAACAAAAGCATGCAAGAGAGTAAACGTGAGGTAGTAAGGTTAAATATCACATATAAGTAAGCTAAGGGCTGAGATGGATGAGTATTATATATTTGGTCTGTAAACACAAATAAAAAGTACATACTCAAAATAAAAATTGTGCAATTAATATAAACCTTCTAAAAAACAAAATGATGCAATTACAAAAATGGAGGAAGTATCTTAATGAGGTTGTAGATAATCGATTAAAATTGCATGCAATATAATCTACCAAGTCCAAAAATTGCATATGAAGTTATTGAAGGTAGACGATATACACTGAAAAACCACAAAGCAATGGGAGAAACAACTTAGAATGATCGAGGCAGTACTAAGTGATGCCGAGCAGAAGCAACTTGATAGCAATGATAATGGTGTAAAGTCATGGATGTAGGATCTTCAAGACTTGGCTTATGACTTAGAGGATGTGTTAGATGCATTTGCCACACAAGCTCAAATTTACGAGTTGATGATCAAGGAAGATGTGCACGACCGTTTTTTGAAGAATAACAACCCCAAGTTTGTTGGTTCACCAAACAATAACAATAATATACTCCCTCCGTCTCTTATTTTTTTTGTCAACAATAACAACCCCAAGTTTGTTGCCAAAAATAGTGGGGTTAATGGGGGTGGTTGTGACTTGTGAGAGTAAAAGTATGGCCCTATATGTCATTAAATAGAATGGGGCAAAATTAAAGAGATTGCTTAAAATGAAAATTGGGGTAAAAATTAAGAGTATGAGGGAGTATGGTTCGTTAATTCCTCCGTTTTTAATTTGTAGAAATGTCGTTCAGCTTAGCTTCCTTACTAGTTTTTTCCATCCACAATAATCTATCTGTATTTCTTGTAAATAATGTGTCCACAAATTTTTTTCATTACTAAACTTAAAATAGATAATGAGGCAACCCTTCAAATATTAAAAGATAATTTTTTTTTTAAATGGTGTAAAGATATTTTTACAACCACATTAACCTTGATAGGATTAGGTTATGGAGCCAATTAGCTCAATATAATAGGATACTTATATAAACATTATTCAAAACTGAGTTGCTCTTTTAAATAAATATTAATCCATTTATTAACTATAAATGGATTAATATTATAACAATGTAAATATAATTATTTTAATTATATTTTAGATATAATAATAATTTGGAATAAATTTTAATTTTCTAAATAACTAATTTGATTATTAATTAAAATAATGTTTATATATAATATATTAAGTTAATATATAATATAAATAATTATTAAAGTTATAAATATTAATATTATTATAACATATTAAATAATGTGTATATATATTAATTATTATTATAATTACATTTATGATATTATATAGGAAAAATTCATGGAAATAATCCGACCTTTAGGCCATTCTTTTTTAATAATCCCACCTTTGGATTATTATTTAATAATCCGACCTTTGGGTGCCTTTAATTTTTATTGGTCCCATTTGACCAGAAACCGGTTGAAGAGGTAATTTTTTTTGTTTAAAATACACGTGTCATTACATAATTGGTAAAAAAAACAAAAAAAAATAGAAAACCCAAATCCATTTCAGCCACCAGCCCACCACCATCCCCACCACCACCCAAACCCAAACCCTAGGACCATCCCACCAAACCCGAACCCCAAAACCACCCCACCAGCCTCCCCCCCTTCCCCCGCCCCGATTCCGACCACCACCGAAGAGAAGGTTGCCGTCTCGATTGTACGTTCTCTCACTCTGTCCTCCATTGAAGCGGGTTCTGAGCTTTCTCTCTCCTCCATTAAAGAAATTTCTGAGCTTTCTCTCCCCTCCATTAAAGCATCATCTAAGGTAAGAAAGGGGAGGGAGGTCGCGATCGGGACAGGGAATGGTTTCGAAGGTGTTTGGTGGTTCATGGGGAGGGATACGGTGGTCGGCGCGTACAGGGGGATCAAAGGTGGTGGGATTTCGGGGCTGGAAAAGGGGAGGTGGTGGGATTTCGGGACTTAGGAAGGGCAGTAGGTGGGCTTCTTACGGTTGGGCTAGGTAGGAGAAGTGGTTTCGGTGGTGGGCTAGGGAAGGGGGGTGGGCGAAATCGGGGAGGAAAAGGGATGGGGTGACCGGAAACGGGGAGGGAAATGGAGGGGATGGCCGGAATCGGGAAGAGGAAGGGAGTTGATGGACGGAATCGGGGAGGTAGAATGTGGCTGGGTAGGAGGGAGGCCGGTGGTAGGGGCTGCCGGAATCTGGGTTGGGGTTTTTTTTAATTTAATTTAATTTAATTTTTTTAAATATTATCAAATTTTTTTTGACCAATCACATGCCGCCACGTGTCATGTAACCTGTTATAACAGGTTACATGACCGGTTGGGACCAATAAAAATTAAAGGCACCCAAAGGTCGAATTATTAGATAATAATCCAAAGGTGGGATTATTAAAAAAGAATGGCTTAAAAGTCGGATTATTCCCATGAATTTTTCCTATTATATATTATAACATAATATTGATAATATTAATTATTAATACTTTATATTATAATTAGCCATTATATAATTATAAATATAAACATTATATATGTTAATTAAATTATACTGACAATATAATTATCAGTTATTAATTAGTTAATGTATTAATAATATAATAACTGATAATCAACTATAAACTTTCTATAGTTTAATTAGCTATAATAACTAATTATAACTATAAACAATGTACTATAAATAACCCCATTTTCCATTAGCAAAACCGTATTATCAGACTGAAAATCAACGTGGGAAGGATAGTATTATGGGATCTCCATTCGCCTGCTGATCAAGTTAGACACGGAAAACGAGGTGAAAGCACGGAAGTGCGAAAGAAAGCACGAAAGGATTAGGTGTTTAGGTGTTTTAGAGTAATTGCTCCGGTAATCGGGGATTAGTTATTCATCCTCTATGATTATGATTATTCAATTGTGAACTGTGTATTCTAAATTTTGTATTTATAGTGTATGGGATGCGTGCCAATTAGGGTTTATAACCTATTCTGTTGGGCTTTGTACCGCCTTATCCATACCTCGGGAGATAAGTCGTTAGACCTATCATTGGGCATCACGTGTTAGCTCTTCATTTGCCGGTACAAGCTGACTAGTCTGACACGTGTCAGTGCGTGACTGGATTATCGCAAGACGATAGTCCCTGTCGCGCGGCGCGCGGCGATGGACTTTGTCGCGCCGCGTCAAACCCACATGGCAACCTATGATTGGTCCACGTGGCAAAGGGAATTTTTCCCTGAACATTTTCCTCCTCATGGAGGTGACGTGGCTTTCCACATGGCCTACCAAGACACGTTGGTGCCAAATCAACCCTAAAAATGGGCGGTTAAAATGTGAATTTTTAGAAAGTTTTTACTTTCCCAATAAATAGAGACTTAGCCCCTTCTCTCTCTTCACTTTCCAATCTCAGATTTATTGCTTTTAGAGGGAGAAAACATTTCTAGAGAGAGAAAGAGCGAGAAAGAATTTTCAGAGAAAAAGTGAGAAAGAACTTCCTACCGTTTCATGAATCAACCGGTTAGAACCGTCTCCTCAAGAAGAACTAAAGGTACCGTCCTTCTCCCCTCTTTGATTTTTTGGTTTTTCTTTTTAAGTTTCAAAAAATATCTTCAAACACCAATGACTCGGCCTCCAAATTAGATCTAACCACCTCTTTAGAAGCTGGCCGGTCTCCTGGAATCGAGGAGTCAAGGACTCAAGGGTTGGTTGCTTTTTTAGAGGCTAACCTTTTTTCTACATCTCCATATTCCTAGAGTCTGACCGGTTCTTCTGTGTATGTGCAGGACACCATGCCTAAGATTAAGAAAGCGGCCTTTATAGACGAGGAAGAGGAGGTCAGTACACTTAGAGTGGTGGCCCATGAAAATACAGAAGTATCTCAAAGCTCTCCAGCTGAGAATGAAGAAAGTATGTCGGGGGTTGAAGAATATGCCCCTGAGAAGAACTGAGATTCTGAGTTAGGGCTATCTTGGACGCAGGAAGAGGAAGAGGTTACCAATACCGAGCCATCGGCTCGTGGAAGTCCTGACAAGGGTGACAGAGACGATCCTCTATGAGACTGACATGGACAAGCCTCCGGCTCCTGTAAGTCCTAATGAGAATGATAAGAGTGATGGTCGGGAACCGTTTGCTCCTACATCAAGTAAAGGGAGAGACGTCGGCATCAAGCCGGCTCTGTCTAAGGTGATCTGTGGGGGTGGTTATCACCACCCTTATGCCTGTATAGTAACTAATAAACATCTGGGCCAAATGAAGTCCAAGATCATTAAGTTTAGAGCCGAACACCTAATGGGTGACGGCTATGAAATAAAGACGGCTCCATGAAGCGGCACTGTTGTTTGTAGCCATGATCTAGAACATGCCGACCAATTCTTTGGCTGTTACGAATCGGTAATAAATGTCGGCCTCACGTTTCCACTCCATCCGGCAGTGGACCAAATCCTGAGGGGCTTTAATCTGGGCTTATGGCAGCTGACTCCCAACTCATGGTTGAACATTATGGGGTATGTTGCATTCTGCGAAATGAGGGGGGTTAGGCCAGGATTCAGTGTCTTCAACATAATGCATTATCTCATG